TCTGCCTTCAGCGAAGGATCTCTGTTCCTGAGCCCCAGGCCCCAGGGGAGTGAATATGGGGGGGACAGGTGTCCCAAATGGTGAGAGAAGGCCATCTTCTTGGAACTGGGTGATGCATTCTTAAAAAGAACCTAAGGAGTAGTTTGGATCCATGGACAGTGGTGAGAGCACTGGACATGGAAGGAAGATGGTCACCATGGCAGATTCTCTTTGAGCGGCTGCCACGTGTCACATGGAAGCACAGGAACTGTGTTTCCTGGGGAGGCCCATGGTGCAAGAGGGAGACTCCTCTCTCCTGATGAACTGGGGGGAGCTTGTGTGAAAGAGGGTATTGGACTGAGAATTGATGTGTTAGAGGGGATTTGAATATTAGAGGACTGGGGGGAGGAGGAGAGTTTTCAAAGTGTTCCATTGTGGATTGTTGTGTGTGTTTTCTCTTCTTTTTTTCTTTTTTGTGTCTATGTAGATTAATAAAGTGTTGTTTTTTTTCCCTCCATTTCCAAGTTGAAGGCTACTTTGTTCTGTTCCCAGGTCACATCTCACAGTAACCATTTTGGAAATACACCTTTTATGGGGGCACTGGCACTATGCCAGTGTCAATCCATGACATTGTGCTTAAGGGCACATCTGCTTCTCCCTACCAGATCAGACAGCTGATCTGCCACTGCCAACCTCAACAGGACATGGGAGAAGCAGAGGGGACCTGTCCCCATCACTCTTGTTCTTAGTGGTGGCAGCAGCTGATTCCAGTTGCCCAAGGCATGGGCTACCTCTGCAGGCTGGAATGGAGGTGGCACAGGCCTCTGGCTGAGTCCCTACTCTTCACCCTCAGTGGCTGGAGAGGGCTGCGCTACTGCCCCAGCTGCTGCTGACTGGAGGGAGGAGTGTGGAGGCAGGACTGCAGTGTCCATGCAGCATGTCAATATACTGCAAATCAAGTCCCACCAAGGGGGACAGGCTAGGTATCTACAGCTGCAGAGCAGCAGGTTGGGAAGAGGGAATTTGACCAGAATGGGTCACCTGGGCACCTCAGTTCTGGTGTGATTCTGCTTTAGTCAGCTGTGCTCTGGATCTGGCACTGAGCACTGTTAAGCCAAGGCCACAGAAGGTTAATGGTGCTGCTAACAGTGTTATTGATGCCTGATGATGCAAAGAGAAATTGTCAGGACTTTGCAAGTTGCTTTCCCAGGAATGGAGCAATCAATGACGAATGTTGTACTTATTGTAAATTCAGACTCAAGCTGATATGGCAGCTTCCTTCACAAGGGTCAGTGCATGCCTCCTGTTCCTGTAAATATTCCCTGTTCCACAAAGTCTCCATAGATCACCCAGAGTTGATACAAATAATTAATTTTAGAAAGGATTTAAATTTCTCATGCTTTGAAGAATAAGAGGTTTTGTATGCAGGCTAAGTGAGACCTGATGTGGGAGATAGGGAGATTATTTTGTGTTTGTGCTGTGATTTTCATTATTCCTTACGCCAAAGTACGCTGGAACATCAAAGACTGTTGGAGGAGGATTAAATAGACCTCAGGGTGAGCCAAACCCAACCATGCACACAGATTGGTGGTGTAAATCAATACATCAGTTCACTCAGCATAAAAATCAGAGTGCTGACATGCATTTGCAATGCTTACTGTAAAACACTGATATGTCAGTAATCTTTTATAAAACAAAAGAAGTAAAAATGACTGTATTTGATAAGAATTTTAAGGTGTTATAAAATTCTTAAGCAAGCTGGAGAATACCATAGTGGTGTTTTGCAAGAAATACTTTTCTGAGTATGGCTTGTTTACCAGAAAAGAGTCTGTTTGTTTAGGTTTTTTTCTGTAACTCACATAATTGTTTGTGTTAGAGACCTGTGCTCTGCATGCAAGACAGGAGAGATAAGCCAAAACCAAATTAGCAAGAATTAAAAGCACAGCAATTACCCTGTAACAATTACAGTCTTTGTATGCAAGCATGATGCATCCCAGCAGGCACCTGCTGTTACATCACTTACTTCTGCTTAGCATTGAATAAAACTTATCGCTGTCAGCCTTGGAGGGACTTCTCTCTATCCAAAGTGCTCAGCTGAGGGTGGAGAAGCTGTGTGTACTTCTAGCAGAGGTTGGAAGAGCTGTCATGTCACCTGACTGCTGTGATTTTAGCCCATCAGCCTTCCACAGATCCATCTCCCTTCCCAAGATTCATAGGTTAGGTTATGAAGGCTGCACATACGCAAATGACTTGTGCTAACAGTTCCCAGGGCCAGCTGTTGTGGGCTTGTGTTCCAAAGAACATTGTGAAGGGACTGCCCGTCCTCATAAACCCTAATTTGCAGATATTTGCTAAATGTCTGGGGTATGCATTTGTCAAGGATTTATTAGCCAGGACTCATGGCTGACTGATGTGTGAAGTGGGAACCACTTTGTTTTCTCCCAGACTCCCAGATGTTTGAGGCTTAGAATACTCATATCCTACTGAGGTTTTATACATAACAGCTGGCCCTGACTTATTTTTTATCCTTCAGCCCCTGGATACCTTCAGAAATTTCAGTCTTGTAGCTTCTGTGGGATTTAGTGAGCAGTTTCTCATTTCTGAAGCCTCCTGCAGGATAACCACTGTAATAAAATAGCTCTGGGACAAAAACTACCCTGTCATTTCCAATGCCTTGTGTTGTTTTCTCTTTGATTCCCTTCATTATCCTCATTGACTTGAGGGATTAATGGACCATGCTTTTAATCTTGCAGAGTAACTGAAGGCACAGATATTCTAAGAGAGAAAAATCTCTTTAATCTCACTGACAAAATATTCTCAAAATAAACACCTATTTTCTCTCCCCATTTTTCCCCCTCTATGGCTTTACAGGATTCTGACTGCAAGGAACTCTGCAGGCCTGAAAGAAGGTAGGTGCATTGATGGATAGCTTTTAATCCTTTATTTGTTATGTGTTTGGTACCTGGTTTTTGGCCAGCCTGGCTGATTAACAGACTTGCTGTCTGACCAAGAACAATATCTCAAAAACTGAATTTAAAAAGGTGGGAGAAATGGATATTTATTAAAGTAGTTAACAGTCTGGGGCCTCCACAATCACTTAAACAGAAATATGGCATAGCTAGCCTGGTCTGTCTGGGTAGATGAGAGAGGAGGGAAATTTGGGTATGTTTTCTTACTTAGCTCTGCCACCATCCACCCTGCAAGTGAAATTCAGCTTGAAATCTGATGACAATGTTAAGTCTCACAAATTAAATAAGATTTCCATGTACTTGCTGTCTGCAGAGAACCATTTCATCCTCCCTAGCTCTGGATAAGTAACTGAAGTCTAAATGCTTAAAAATATCATGGCTCTTAGAGGTAACAGAATGTATGGTCCTTACAGTGGTCAAAACCCTGTTTAAGCAGCTGAGTTCCTTTTGCTTACATGGTGTGAAATAAGCAGCACTGGAGAGAGATGCCTCATGCTGGACTGAGTCTTAAATCCAGATTCTTCCCAAGGTGGCAGGGAGGAATGTCCTGCTGCTCTGCTGCAGCCCTTCCTAAGCCTTATGAGATAAAACAGGTATGAGATTCCTGACAGGAGTGCAGACAGCCCTGGATAGTGTAAATGAGCACTGCTTAGTCACGTGGCACAGTCACACTCTTCCAGTCATCCCAAAGAGGTTTCTGCTGCTACAAAAGGTTCTGGAGAAATTGCTGAAGCAGGTTTTGTAGCAGAGATGAGAACCAAGGGCTCCTCCACACTTCAGGCAATCTAGCCAGTTTTCTTCACAGCTTCACAAGGAGAGACTTGGAGGAGGCCTGTGCAGAAAAAAGCCCTCAGTTTGGTCGTTTGGATGCTCAGAGGGGAGGAAGAAGTCCTTGTCCCTGTTTGACCCTGCAAAGAGGAGAGTGCAGGGGGCCTCCTCTCCTGTGGTTGGGAACATTGCTTTACTCACTGACTCCTGCAAACAGCTCCAGCACTTTCAGCTGTATGTTAAAGACAATGGGTGTTGTGTTTTGCAATGA